TTAGGAGCCCTGACTCGGATCCCTACATCTGATACAATACTCCTTTGGAAGTTTCTGCAGAGGAGAACCTCTAAGACTTCTGTTAATCCTCCTTAGCCAGTGAAAGCTAAGATCTGAGCAACATATTTACCCTTTAACAAAATGGGCAGAGAAGTCGAGTGGCAAGTAATTTATATTACAGCTAAACAAATATACAGCTCAAAGTTATCTGGAGAAAAGACTGAATCATGTATCTTTGGATGGGTGCATTTCCAGCGCTCTTTGAATTATAATGACTGTGAGATCACCAGTATTTCTTCTCCTAAACAGTCTACTATTTCCAATAGTCATTTCTTAAAAGTCTCACTGAAATGTATGTACTCCACCCACCCTACCATCTGCCCAGGAAAAGGGGTGGTCTTATTTTATGTTTCTGGGATTGTAATTACATTAACTGAAGACAACCACATTAGGGAAGGATTATTTGATTTAAAAAAGCATGATGCTGTCATGACATCATCATAATGTCGGCCCTTTGTCTCATAAAATGTTTTTTCTTCTACGTACTGGTTATTCCCACACACCTTTTGCTGATTAATGTCCTGGGGTGCATGAGGGTTATACTTTGATTTCATTACTCAGCCAGTTCCACGAAAAGGTGGATTACCACAGAAGCTCTGATAATCCAGCATGCTGAGGACTGGCAGGACCAAGGACTTCTAAAGATAAATAAGAAAAATAAACCAAATTACTTCTTTACTACCTTGGCACTAAGAAGAAACTAGCAGAGATTCATTTTCTGGTTCTGTTAGTGACCTATTGTAGGATCTGAAGCAAATTTGTTTATTTTAAGAATTCAGTTTTCCTTTTTTACCCTGTGGTTGTCAGGGGTTTACACATATAGTATAACATAACTTATCATGTGGGAATATTCCAGCAACTTTCATTTGATTACTTTATATGAGGAAATTTATGTGAAGAAATGTATATGAAGACATTTAATATAACCTTAAAAAGGCTTGGTGATAAAATAATATAAATACATGCTGAAATTTTTTTTTTTTTTTTACTTCAAGCAAAGTAAAAACAGCAAGTCCATTTTGAAAACAAAGACATAAACCTTTAAGCGTTGAAGATCTGATTAACAGCAAAGGTCTGGTGACTGATAAGAACCACCTCTATTTTGAAATAACTTCAAAGAGATTAAGTTAATCAGTAAAGCAGTTCCACAAGGTGTGAACATTGCCATTACTTATTGCTAAAAGTACAACACAAATCATGTGTTAAAGTGTTTAAGTTCCTCGTGTATCAGATAACGTTCATTATCAGTGTAAACCGGCATCAATTTTCCACACGCATTTACCGATTTTGCGTGTTGCTGAAGATGATATAGCCTGATCAAAAATAGATAAATCTTCCCAAGGTTTTGAAATGGTCTCCCTGCTCTTGTGCAATAGATGTACCCAAAATCCTAGAAAGATGGATGAAGTAAGGTCACTCAGTGGAACTTTTGCCTTTGGTCTGCTGAGTCACAAAAGGATGTTTAACGCCCCCAGCTCCGTGCCATAGTTCTTATCTGTAGCAACTCATAAACTGGCATTCCCAGAAAAAAAAAAGGCAGATTCTGTGCACATAGAAGGTAGGAGATGTCTTTTTATGTGTGTAAAGACATGTTTGAGTCTCCATTTGGATTGAAAATCAATTGCAGCTCATAAGTACCTCATTACTCAAGCTAAAGACTGGAGGGCCAAACAGCTCTCTCTGTTGGAGACAAATGTAAATAAAATAGTCCCTGTGTGTTGAAAACAATGGGATTTACTGTGAAGGCTTGTTATGTTAGTTACACTCATAGACTACTGTAGGTTTTTTTTATAGAACTGTAGGGTTTTTTTATAGAACTGGATTTTTCCAGAGCTTATTCTTTTTGGAATATTTATCTCCTCCATAATGCCCTTAGAACTCAGGATAAGGACATATTTGTAGGTATTGTAAAGAAACTGTGGTCTCCAGTCCCTTGTTCATAAGAATTCTGCTTTGAATACTGATCTACAATATTTTATCACCATGAAATTACTTGGCCAAATCCTCAAATAAGATGCAAATTATTAAAATTTGGGTAAGTTTAACTAATGTAAATTGGTATACTTTTACTAACTACAGAGGAAGAGAAGTAAGAGATCTGGCCCACTATAACCCTTGACTCTATTCCTTTTGTTTGTTTTGGTTGTAAAAGTAGAGATTTTTTGAACACACCTACATTACTTATAATTAGCTGAGAAACTGATACTTATAATTAGGTGAGAAAACTGAAAATAAATCAACCTCTTACTTTATTACAGTTCTTGATTTTCTTTCTTTAGACTGTTTTCTAGTGTTGGTGTTTGCTGGAGATCTGATGATGCTCCAGTTGTTATGATTAATACTTGTAAGTGTGACAGGTTAAAGCTGGCAGTATTGATAGAGTACATTTATACTTATCAAATTCTACTAAAATGAACAGTCATAGCAGGAGGTAGTATTTTCTGTGTTCTGGAAAAATACCAGTCAGCATGGGTTCATCATCTTTGTTAAAATAGCATATTTAAGTTAGTTTTGATTTAATTATCCTAAAGATTTTTTCTCATTTAAAATATTTATGTGAATATGAAAGTAGAGGACAAGTTTATATTAAAAGTTTTCCCCTTTTAAGCATGTACTTTAATTCTGGAGAGAAATCAAGCGTGGCATGAAAATAAAATGGAACCAGTAACATTGAGAATAAAGCACTCAAAATGGGATATCTAGTTTCTGAAAAAAAAAAAAAAAAGGCATTAATAAAATGCAAAAGTTGTCAATTGTTAGCTTTCCTGAAAACTGTGTATTGAATTAAACCCTGTGTTTCCTGTTTTAGAGAAACAAGTAGTTACTGTTTAAAAGTCAATTAGTAAGGAAAACCCCTAGGGAATATATATTCCTACACTACTTCGTTGTTCATTAGAGAGTGAAACATAAATATAAGACCTTTCTTACTCTCTGTTAGTAAATTGTTTTTAGAAGTGCAAGGAGAACACAGAGCTGTCTGTCCTATTAAAGTAGAAATGGGAACTTCAAGTTGGGGGAAATAGCACTGCACTGGTCCATGCAAATGAAAGCTTAATTGTCTGAAGTCCCCTCTTCTTTTTTAGGTGGGTCATTTACAGTATTGCATAAAATGATGATAATTTCTTAAATATTTAAGGCAATAATTGTAGCTAGATAAGTCTTTAATTTCTTTCTTCACCTGTTGCTGTCATGATTATTTCCATCAAAGTTTAGCTTTTTTTCATATTTCTCTGGAAACCTTTTGATCTCATTGCATTAGTTGTCTCCCTCCCTCAGTTAAATTCTTCATGTATTCCTAGCTGACACTAATTTGCTCCTCTGGTTCAATGTATAGTCAAGAGAGTAATTTATTCATCTTCAACAGCACCACTGAAATCACAGAAGTACTTGATGCCCTGATTTATTAAGGCACTTGAGGTCAGTGCCTTAAGCATGTGCTAAAAATGAAGCAAATGCCAGCATGACCTCCAAAGGATTAGTCACCTGCATAACAACTTGCAGGGTCCTTAAAAAGATGAACTTGGGGCACAGATTTTGCTACTGGTGTAAGGTTGGTGCAGCTGTACTGGAAAGCTAAATGATGCTGACAACACTTTCAGGGGAATTATAACGAGCCTACACTAAGCCTTTCCCTTTTCTTGTCCTAGGCCATGCTGATACGTGCCAAGAAATAAAAATCAAAAGTTGGGAATTTTTTTTCATTGTTTTAATTCATTGTTCATATGCCACTTAGTGTTCAACAGGACTATTGGCATCTCAGTAAAGAACTGTATTGTTACAGCATATCTTTTTTTGCCATTGGATTTTGTGGGGTCGTTTTTTCGTGCTCTTTCACATTTGCTTAATATAAGCAGGACATCTGTGGTGTCACTGCTAATGAAAACAAGAATTGCAAATTGGATGAGACAAAACTTAGACGCCCTAGATTTGCAGGTCAAAGTGTTTTGCATTTAGAAACTATGGATAAAAAAAAAACAAACTTGTGGAAATTAGGAATTAGGAAACTGTGGGAACTTTTCTCACTATGACAAAGAACTTTTTTTTATTTCTTCCTAAGGAAAAAACTGTGCTGTATAGAGATGGTCCTTTCTTTTTGTACTTTTTTGTTCCTTATGATAGGTGTCCCTTAAAGCCCTATGTTGACTATGAGAGTATATCCTTTCAAGCCAGCTGGCAAAATTTTTAAAAGTTAAGTATCTACCTCAATGGCTTTATTCTACGTGAATTCACAGTAGCAATTTTGTATATCTTTTTGCAATTAAAACTATAAAACCAATCCCATCACATAGAACAGATTGCAGACTTTTCTGTAGTGCTTTATGCAGATTTTTAAAACATTCTCCTTGCAAATTCTGTTTAAAAAACGTTCTGGTTTAGTGGTAGCATTATTGCATTTCAGAAATAATATCCTGTAAAATGTCTGTAACAAGGTATTTTATCTGAAAGCCCATTGTAGCTTTCTTATTATGAGTTTCAAGCTTCTGCAACAATAAGAGTGTTCTTATTCAAATGTCTACTGTTGCATTCATTCCTCTAATAGCAGCATTCCATCATATCAACCTGAAAATAGACAAACAATTGCATAGAGTGCTTGTTATTCATTGTCAATATTTTTTATTTTGTTGTTAGATATCAGACTTTGGAATAGTCGTATGGAGTATTTGCATTAAACACAGAAATAAAAAAAGATATTTCCTCTGAGTATACATATGCTTTCTATCTGTATTTCCTAGGGATATAAAAAGTTACTGGTTTAGTTACACTGGTCATTTTTATTACCTTCCTGAAGACAATGGAAATTGCACAAGGCTCCATATGAAACTGTCTCGAAGTGTAAATTAAATCTATGCTTTAGTCTGTTGTAAATAGAGAAGAATGTACTCTTAGATAATAAATCTTTTTTGTGTATATCAACAAGTTGTCTATTTTTTTCTTCCTAGATACACCTTTAGTTAAAATCATTTCTTCCAATTCATGGCCTGAAGAAGGACAAACTATAATTTTGACTTGTGAATCCAAAGGAAAACCAGTGTAAGTGATTTAACAAGTAATATGTTTTTTGTTATTTTACTTATTCTGCTGTGACTGCAATCCTCAGCTGCAGAAATCTGCTGGTTTTGTCTCATCCTGGGGTGTAAAGTAATCTGTGATATGGAAAACCCCTTGAAGCCTCTCTTCATTAAGTATGTATAGAAGATCGGTCTTTTGTCATCTATTTTAGTTTTTAGGAAGAATTCCAGCTGTGAGATACTTTTTTTTTTTTTTTTTTTTTTTTTTTTTTTTTTTTTTGTGGTCAGGTATATCAACCTGAAAGGAGTGCAGGCTTAATCAGTCACTGTTTACATCATTGAACTGATGACAGAAGAGAAAATGTCTCATGAAATTCTTCCTACATCAGCTATCAGCTAGCCTCAGAAAAAATATCAAACTTGCTGGATGCTTTGGCTGTCGTTTACAGGGGAATTTGAAGTTTAATGATATGTGCAAGTTGGCCGCCTGTTTCCACCAGAATTTGGAAAGATGTAGCCTGCTTTAAGAATATAAATTGTTTGACTCGAAAATTAACATCTCTGCCATAAATATCTTCAAAGACAGATCTTCAAAGACTAGCCCTTGTACAGAATGTGCTATTTTAAGAGACCTCACTTTTGGAAACAGTATCTTCTCAGAAGAGCTGTGATATACTTACTCATAAAGATACATAAGTAATTCAATTGCTTAGTATTAAGTTAATATGAATCAAGTTTCTTAAGTATTGACCTTCTGCTCAAAAGATCAATATATAGTGGAGAGATGATACACAGCTTTAGAATGGTCTTGAAAATGGTAATGCATTTGGGTCTGGAAAAGATGCAAATTGCATGACAAAAGTCATGTCACTTATGGCTGAATTTCTCCCTGGTGTAAATTTAGTGACTTTATGGAATTGCTTTACGTAGGAGCTTGAAGTCAGATTTAGGTCAAATCAGGCATTTAAGTTCAAAATTTTTACTTTGAAAAACTCTTCTGAGTTGTGTCTGGCATCACATAAACTCCATAGGTACTTTTTTTTTTATATTATATGCCTATATCATTTTAAAGCAACTCCTCCATCTAGATCTTGACTGGGCTGAGCAACTCAGCATCTAGTTCAGGCTTCTACCCTGCTTGAGACCAAAACACTGGTTTAGTCTTACATGATTAGTCCAATGAGTCTTAAATGATGCTTGGTGTAATTGGTCTTCTGCATACCTATGTAGTTGTGATGGAGTGTGTGCTTCTGAGATACACACCTCTGTAGGTAACACTAAAATCAGTTGTGAGACGTCTGTTGCTTTTATAAGAAGATTAAAGGAGAAGGAATTATCCATTTACCTAATATGCTTTGAGCATTCCCCTAGGTAACACAAGGTACAGAGTCTGCTTCCCCAGTATTTTCAGATTCAGCAGAAGATGTGCAAGTGCTTAATTTTAGGAAAGAGGTCAGCTCTGATTGTCCTGAGGGCACTGTTGTCTAGGTGATATTCAGGATTTTTCCTACCTCAGTGTTTTCCTCATGACTTAACCAGTGACAACTACATGGAAGTCCTCTCTTTGGCTTACAGACCTCAGGCATTCTAGCCCCAGGTGCTTGATTTTCACTATTCATCTAGCATTCCCTGTAGGGAAAAAGATTAGAAGTAAGGCAGTCATTATGTATTTTTATATTTTTAATTACCTGCTGTTTGTTGTTGGGAGGGGCAGTTCGGGCCTTGAAATTTGGAGTCTGTTTATATAATGAAGTTTGAAGGCTGTGGGTTCATTTCTTCTTTCTGTTCCTTTTTAGTTCTGTGAGACAGACAGATAAATTCGAGCTGTATGTAATCAGTACATTGGGAGCAAGGAGCAATGGATGTATAATAGCAACTGGGGGTTCTAGTCCTCCAAGGATTTCATCTGAGTATTACAGCAAGTAGGCATGGTGCTTTTCAGTCTCAGAGTGTAAGGAGTCATTTCAACTGTCTTCAAACAGCTGCATAGTAGAAATTTACATCTGAGCAGCTCTTTTTGGGCTTCCCTTTGCATTCAGTGGAGAGATTTAGGCACTAGTATGACATGGCTGTTCTGCTGTGCATTAGACAATTACAGAAGAGCCAGACCAAGCCAGACCTCTGCTACTTCCTTTCCAGTAATTACATGGAGTTTAGACAGTTAATTCAGTCAGATATCTACCTCTGTATGGTGGGATAGCAAATGTAGATGTCTAAATGTGGATTTATCTAATTTTTATATCTGTATTTAATTTTGGTAAGACGCATCCTGCCTTTTGTCTACAGGTTATAACCACACTTTCGTAATTCATTCACTACTTCTCATGGGCAGCCAGGTGTTCAGCCACCTCCAGGAAAGCAGGGCTCTGTCACATGTAATGGTGACTTGGGCAGACAAAACATCATCATACCAAAACCTCCCCACTTTCTCCTCCTTCCCCAGCTTTATATACTGAGCTCTGTGTCACATGGTCTGGGATATCCCTCTGGTCAGTTGGGGTCAGCTCTTTGTGCTCCCCCAGCCCACTCACTGTTAGGGTGGGGTGAGAGGCAGAACAGGCCTTGGCTCTGTGCAAGCTCTGCCCAGCAGTAAGGAAAACATCCCTGCATTATCAGCACTGTTTTCAGCACAAATGTAAAACACAGCCCCATACTAGGTAGTAAGAAGAAAACTAAATCTATCCCAGCCAAACCCTGCATGCTCTGGTAATGAAAGAGACAATTAATATTCTCAGGTAGTAGATTCTCTTCCAGACCCCTCTATTTGTTAGTTATTTCTGAAAGCAGTAAAAAAACTGTAGAAGTGTTATATTTTACCTTGAGGTGCACAATAATTTCTATTCAGCACACATAATATTATAGGTATGCTTTATACCACTGGGAGGCTCTTGTTAAAACATAGTAATTAAGATGGAGCTAAAACTGAGGTGTTTACTGATCTATTAATTTTTTTAAAAAATAAAACTCTTTTGTATCCTTAATGGATTCAAATGCAAACCTCACATGTGGTTTTGAAAGGGCAGCCAAATAAAAACTTCACATCAGAGAATTATCAAGGCAGGGCACCTGTGTGTGGTAGCCTTTGGGGCACAAATATTTTGCCAATAAATGCACCTCTAATTGTCCCTGCCACAGGAACTGCCAACATCAGCTGCTCTGTATTGCTTCATCAGGTCATTCTTTCACAGAGCAGAGCCAGTAATAAATAGGCATCCTCCTGGGAGCAGTTAGCAGTTACTTAGCATGAGAAACAGTAATGTCATGCTCCCAACCTGCATTATGATTACCTTGTGGCTGGCAGAGAGAGAGAAATTGGAGAGGTCCACAGAGCCCACAAATGTCAGTGTCACGAGGTAAGTGATGAGCTCTGGGCTTCACGAAGAGCTCAGAGCCAGCCTTGGTCCTTCACAGCCATTTGCCCACCATGGGTTAATTTCTGTAGAGTGTCAACTTTGTCACAGTTACAACAGCCCCTCTGGTTTCCTGTAGGCAGCAGTGAATCATACCAGTAAATGAACACTTACTTATAGGTGCATTTCTCTTGTATCCCAGAGCAATTTTCCCAAGCTTCAAAATGACATTTGAGATGAAAACAGATAAAGAATGAAGCCAGGCAGTGGCTATGGTGACATTGATGATACTGATAGCTGCTGCAGAGTAATTCTTTCCCAAAAGGGAACAGCCGAATGAGGCTTAAACTAGAACATACACACCCCATCTTACAGCTCAGCACCAAGCCCCTCCTTGCAGGGATTCTGTCCCTCAAACCATGTATATCACAGTTACACCAATACTGTGTTTTCCCAATCTACAACACAGACCTGAGGAAAAGCACTGCCCAATTTACTGTCCTGTAGCAGGAAATGGGAAGGAAGATTTGTTCAGGGTAATCAAGTGCACACTGCACCTCCAGCTGAAACAGCATCCTCCAGAGATAGAGCAGAAAGCCAAAGGGCAACTGTTTACTGTGTGTTAGAACTGGAGAACTAGGGCCCTGCTGAGGTTTCATGAGTTAGGGTGTAAGATTTCACTTGACCAGTCAATGGCCATGACTTCAGGCAAGAGAAAAAAATGTCCCCAGCCACTTGGGTGGTATAGATTGTCACAATGTGTGAGATGAGCTGGAATTATCCCAGACTCTGAGGTTCCTGGTTGCTATGAATGGGTTTGTGTCACCTCACATTTGTGGTCTTGGTGCAGATACCAATGTTGGAACAGGGAATCTGAGAGTGGGCAAAGGGGGAGAAGTTGGGGGGATGGGTGAGGGGTGGAAAGATGGAAATGTGATTGGACCATTCGGAGTGATTCATTGAGGCAACATGAGAGGGTGTAAGACAGGATGCACAAATTCTGTAACTGTGCTGTTTTATCTCTCTGCTCAGCACTGTGAGGGTGAGAATAGCTCTGACTCCTGTCATCGTCCCTTGCTTATTTCTGTTAGGGGAGTTACTTCAATGCAGGAGCTGAAAATTGTCTTCTTTTGGGTAAGCACTGTATTGCTGCTGTAGAAGTGTGATGATACCGATAAAAAGAGCAGGCCAGGTTTTCCTGCATGTTCTGTGATGGGTTTGCAGGGGCGGGCCATGTGGGCGATTAATAAAGTGTAGCAGATCCTCACAGACTCTGCCACAGCTCCCTTTGGAGTGTGTGTTGTAGCTGATGCAGCCTCAAGCAGAGATGGGCTGCCTGAGACCCGCTGAGGAGGTCACTGCAAGAGCTGGGGGTTGTCCCTTGGGCCTCTGAATGGGACATGTGTCATGTCACCAATCCCACCTGGTGGGACGGCACAGTGACCACAGTGTTGAGTCAGAATGTACTGGTAGGACAGGGAGGGAGGAGACTCCCTCTTCCATTGCCTTCCAAAAGACCTGCCTCTTGCTTCCATATACAGCTCTGGCTAATTATTGGCTCTAGGATCTAGCATCAAAGCCTGACTATTCCCTAAAGACATGGTTACACTTATGGATATAGACTTCTGGATTTGATGATGTTCTGAGCAACAATAGGAGGCTGGTATTTGGA